AATTGTTATATTTATTATAATTGTTGTATTTGTTATAACTGTTGTTATATTTATTATAACTGTTGTTGTATTTATTATAACTGTTATATTTATTACAACTGTTATATTTATTACAACTGTTATATTTGTTATAACTGTTATATTTGTTATAACTGTTATATTTATTATAATTGTTATTTGTTATAACTGTTATATTTATTATAATTGTTATTTGTTATAACTGTTGTTACATTTATTATAACTGTTATATTTATTATAACTGTTATATTTATTATAACTGTTATATTTATTATAACTGTTATATTTATTATAACTGTTATATTTATTATAACTGTTGTTACATTTATTATAACTGTTGTTACATTTATTATAACTGTTGTTACATTTATTATAACTGTTGTTACATTTATTATAACTGTTGTTACATTTATTATAACTGTTATATTTATTATAACTGTTATTTTTATTACAACTGTTATATTTATTACAACTGTTATATTTATTACAACTGTTATATTTGTCATAACTGTTGTTGTATTAATTATAATTGTTATATTAATTATAATTGTTATATTTGTATTGTATATATATTGCAAACCTTCAGTCTCAGAGAGGACGAGGATGTCGTCTGTAAATGAACGTTTCACGTCGTGTAAACGTGGCCTCAGACTGGCTGCCCCGTCTGTCAATCAAGAGACAAAGTTCATAGATGGATAATCGGCTGACGTCTTGTTTTTAATGCATCTACCCAGAATACCTTTGCGATTGACCGGTAGATCGAGATCGACGTATAGGGAACCCCCTTTTTTAAACCTTCTGTTTAATGTACCAGTGTTGTATAACGCAACAAGTGCCTCCTAAAAAGTTAGAAACATCAGAACCGTGATGTTCTCCAGCTCCTGAGTCAAACACGTCAGACTTCGGTGACGACTGGATCTTACCTGTAAGGATTCTGTACAGAACTCTGCCGTTCTCTCCCTGGTCCGCATCCGTGGCTTGAACCTATAAAGTCAAACACGTTCAGCAGATGTCTTCTTTCTTTATGCACTGGCACAATGAACACAGTCACAAGTAAAAAAAATATATATAATTAAGAAACTTCCAACAAAAGCTCCAACATGCATCATACGGCATGAAGTCCAAAAGTAAAGTGGGACTTCTGATGCATGCTCAATGATCCAGGTAGATAAATCTGACTCAGCCTTGCTGGACAAACTGGGACGTAGTAAAAGTATTCGCTGATAAAATGCTGATGTTTTATGTTTAAACAGTAAAAGAAATATTTTACTTCTAACATACAAAGCTCTCAACAACCAAGCTCCAGCTTGTAATAAAAATCTTATTGTTCGTATTTTCCAAATAGAGCACTTCTCTCTCAGACAGGCAGGCAGGTTTACTTGTGGTTCCTAGAGTTTTTAACAGTAGAATGGGAGGCAGAGCTTTCAGTTCTCAGGCTCCTCTCTTGTGGAACCACTTTACTGTTTGTTTGTGAGGCTGACTGAAGACGTTCCTTTTTTATAAATCCTATAGTTTGGGTTTCCTCAGCAATCCCATATCCCTATAAACTTCAACTGATCACATCTCCTCACTCTGCTGCTGTTTGTGCTGTTGTTCATGTTTGTGTTTGTAATTATCTCGATCATTAACGTTCTGTATGTTTTCTTTGTATTTTCCTCCCAAAGCAGAAACACTTGGAGGACTTCCTGTCTGTCTGCTTCTCCTTCCTGTCCGCTCAAACAGCTAATTAAGGCAGATGGCCGCCCATCCTGAGTCCAGTTCTGTTGAATGTTTTTTTCCTGTTAAAGGAGAGTTTTTCCTTCCCACTGTCACCAAGATGCTGCTCAGGATGGAGGTTTGCAACAAAGTGAAGATTCAACACGTTCTGCTGGCTTCCTTATATAACGTTTACCAATTATTATTTTTAATGTATATGAATGTCTTTGTACAGGACCTTGGTTGTGCATTAGTACCATATAATACATTTAACTTATAAAAACATTTCTGTACAGAATCGTCAACTGTCTTTAAACAAATCGAAGCACAGCCAAGTAAAAACAAACGTGATGTCACGAAGTTCACAACATGAACAGCTAAGAACACAATAAAACATTCAAAGTCAAGACAAGGCCAGGATAAATAACTTGGATTCAACTGAAATAAAATGTATTCAAAGTAGTTTTGTTTTAGTTTTCGGTAAATTTCTAACATTTTTTACTTTTGAATGACTGAGTGGACCATTTAGTTTTTCTTTCCATAGAAACTACACCTTGTGAGGATCGTTTCAATATTTTATTTTCTGTGATCCTCCTTGGTTTGTGCATTTTCAGCCTCTTGTGTTTGTTCTCCCCAGTGTTTTTCCTTCAGGTTATTCTTCTCCCATCCTGCACATTATTATGGCCTGGCCCAAAATCGGGCCGCGCTGGGCTTCGGGCCCGGGTTAGAAATGGCAGCTCTAATGCCCACCACTTTGTTTCTGAGTGGTGCTTTGTACTGTTCATGGTCTGTTTCGGTTGCCCTTGCGAAGCCTGTGATTGATTCCAAAGTTTAGTGAGTACCCCGCTGTCTCATCAGCTTTTCCTTTTGTTTATTAAAGATCTATATGAAGGTACTCCTGAGTTCCTCGAGTTAGCCATCTGCCATCACTTGCCAACCCCTGGCTCTACCATTGCACCGAACGGTGGATAAATTTGATCCCTCTGCTCACCAGGATCTGTCACTCGGACAAGCAAAAACTTAAATACATACAGTACCTTTGTTCTTCTCCACAGTGTAACTCTACCCACTTGAATCTCTTGCACCAAAAACATTAACTTCCATTCCCTGTTCAATTCCAGTTCAGAAAAACACTCATGTCAAAAACTAAAAACGTTCATTATGAAAATCCCTCAGCAACAGGAGACATCTGTGTACCGCTTGTAAGGGATTTTCTGCAGTAGCATCAAATTGTGAGGCAAGCGGAGATGTAATGAACATTCCTTTAATGCTCATGCACTGACACTAGTGGTGGAAGAGTTTGTGCGCCTAAATGATCCTAGGAGCTATGCTGTCGGGGGCAATTATAATTGTCCCTGGTAGGGTCTCCCAAGGCAGATTGGTCCTAGGTGACAGGCCAGACTAAGAGCAAATCCAAAGATTTTTATGGACATGATACAGCAAGGATCTCGGTGTCCCTTGACCGGACGTGTGTTACCGGGGCCCCACCCTGGAGCCAGGCCTGGGGGAAGGGCTCGTCGGCGAGCGACTGGTGACCGGGTCTCTACCCATGGGGTCTGGTCGGGCTCAGCCTGAAGGAGCAGCATGGGTTTGCCTTCCTGTGGACCCACCACCTGCAGGAAATGCCATAAAAGTTGGGTGCGTGATGCCATGGGCAGTGGCCGAAGGCAGGGACCTTGGCGCTCTGACCCTGGATTACCAAAGCTGGCTCTTGGGACATGGAACGCGACCTCTCTGGTCGGGAAGGAGCCTGAGCTTTTGCGTGAGGTTGAGAGGTACCGACTAGATATAGTTGGGCTCACCTCAACACACAGCATGGGCTCTGGAACAGATCTCCTTGAGAGGGGCTGGACCTTATTCCACTCTGGAGTTGCCCACGGTGAGAGGCGTCGAGCTGGTGTGGGTCTACTTGTAGCCCCCTGACTTGGTGCCTTGTGTGTTGGAGTAACCAGCAGCAAACTGGTTGATCCAATACGAGAAGGTGCTATTTATAAGACTGAGCAGAATACAGCACCTCAGACTGAATAAGACTTTCGGATGAAAGACGAAATGTTTCTACAATTTTTTTTTAATGTCCAGAGGACCAGATTTAACTTTTTTTTACATTTCCTAACAGTTATTTCTACCAGTGTTCAGTCTCGTAATATAAGCAGTTACATTTAGGATGCATCATAGATGTGGCTACGGCTGCTTTACATTTTAGGGTTCCTGTGGCTCCACTGCCTTCAATGTGACACATTCTGGAGGATGCTCGTACGTTTCCCTCCACATGAATAAACCAGTGCACATTCTCATTCAGCCCACATCCAGTGGTGGCCAGTGTCATGTTGCCACAACAACAACAACCCTTTGCAGCCTGGCAGAGGGAATCTCCTTTGCTCTCCGTTACCGGCAGAGAGCCAGACTGTGATGCCTCCTCAGACAGCACGCCTCTCCACTGGACGCAGATCAACAGAGGCGTCTGCTGAGCTGCTGCTCAAAGAGCCCTGTAAAAAAAAAAGTCACTTCTGAATCCAAAGAGGTTCAAAGTTCCTGGATGAGAGCAAACCACGTGAATCTGACCGACATCGTTCTGCCACTTTGTGGTTCGTCAACATTTTGGCTGTATTCACGTTTATACAGAGAAGACAGCTAAAGGCTCTCCAACATGTGTGCACTCAAGTACACATGCCACATCTACATCACCATTTTGAAGGACCCAAGCACAGACGTTGCAACAATTATATGTGAAGGGGACGTGTCCCCCCATTCGGACTCCCCCCCCCCCCCATTAGTTCACCCAGCTCTAACAAAGTTAAGTCAGGCCCTCTGGATGGTTTCTTTTTCTTGTTGTTGAAATGTTTCATCTTCCATCTAAAGACTTCATCAGTCCGAGGAGCTGAAATGTTCCAACAACAAATAAAAAGAACCCGTCCAGAGGACCTGACTTCACTTTGTTGGGTTCTCCTCCTCTTCAGCTGTCTTCCAACAGGTCCTCCTTTGGCCTAACCAGACTGATGGATTCATTGAACTTTGATGAACTTTGGAAGTTGTTCTGGGCTCTTTGGTTGTTTTTGATATTATCTATCTCTTCAATTTATCATCTGTTGTCCTCTTGTGGACACGTCCAGGGAGGTTGTCTCTGGTCCTGTGGACCTTAAACTGCATCTGCAGTCAGAGGAACAAGCTGCTTGGAGATGTTTTTAACATGTCAGTTATTGTCTTTGTAAGCTCCTGAGACACTCTGTCCCCAGCTTCCTGTGGTTCAGTGTGGTACACACCATGATCCCAAACAGCCCTGTGACTACCTGTCACCCTTTAAATAGGCAGTCTGACTGATTACAGGCTGAAGACACCTGAGATGCTGATTACAAGACATACCTTAGTTTAACATGTCCTTGTGGTCACATCAGTGTTTAGGGAATCATCATTAGATTCATTAATTAGTTTAAAATAATCCTGTTGAACAAAAAATTCTAAATGATTGATCTTCATTAGTTGACTGCTAAAATAATCATTACGTTTGTCAATGTCAAGTTATTTTAATGACAGTAGTGTGTCAACTTCTTTAACAAAAAAGGTACAGGCACATCTTTTCCACGACCACAGGACGGATCTTTCCACATGGTTGTTGAAGAAATGAGCTCCTCTCTGCATCAGTTAGGATTAATTAACTTCCTGCGGAAACAGAATCAAACATGAAGTGAGAGGATCTGACCTCAGAGTTAAGTCCAGGTGGGACCTTTATTTTTGGTCAGGCAGTGCATTTAAACATAAACACATTAACCTGCTGCTTCAGTTAAGTAGTGATAGATGATGAGCTCTACTTCTGGTCATTCATTAGGTCTGCTTTTCCATTTTCAAACCACAAAACTCCCATTCTGCACAAACCTGGTTTTAACCTCTAGTGAAAGTTGGTGAAAGTAATCACAGCTGAGTTAGTCCCTCAAAATGTCTGCCAGCTAGCCATGGGGGGAGGGGGGCGTAGACAGATCTGTGTGTGTCCTCCTTTGCTCCCTCTCTCTCGCTCCCTGCGCAAAGAGGGCCCCAACTTCAGTCTCATTAGCTTTATAAAGAGATGTGGAGAGAGAGGAGAAAGAGGAGGACAGGGGAGGGGAAGAAGGGAGGAGAATGACGCTGGGGGGTCAGATTGGTGAGTGATGAATAGGGTATTACACAGTGGAATGAACCACTTAAGCCATATGAGGGGGTGTAAAAAGAGCGAGAGTACGCTGCAGAGCCTCACGACTTGAACGTTATATCCAGGAGTTTGAGCAAAGAGACTTTTCGTTAAATGTCTGAGCCGTTAAATAAAAATACTTTTGCCTTTTCCTCGTTTTTACAAGAACGGCAGTGAGATTTCACAACATGCAACATGTTGGCCACATGTTACCCCTTATTTTCTCTGCTCCCCCTCTTCCCTCCCCACTGTTTCCCCACTCTGTTTCTGGGAAAGAAGCAGTTTGCGGAGGAAAAACAAGTGTGTAAATGCACCAAACAGGTTACCGGAACTAAGCAAGGTGCTAATTTACAGAAGCTCCAAAGTGCAGGCGTGAGTATATATATATATATACATATCTGTAGAAAAAGGTGTATTTTTGTAAATTATTGTAAAAGTTATCCGCTCAGAACTTTAGAGACACATTTTAACTCTTTGAAACACTGAGTGGAACCTAACACCTGCTTAGCCTGAACCTTAATTAGGAATCTCTAAAATCCATCCTGGGATGCTCTTTGCTCAGCTTGTGGATGGGGAGGTGGACGCACGTTGATGCTAACTGCAAAGCATGGATGTCTGCTGGTAAAGGATAGGATTTCAATATGACTTTTATTTAAATAACGTGAACTGCACGAGTGTTACTGTGCTATTTATATCATCCAAAGAGTTTATAACAAACAAAGGACACAGAAAAACATCCAATATAATAAGGAAAGCCACACTGAATGCATAAGTGTCAATCAACTGTTTTGCTCAATGTATTTGCATCAGATGAATACGTCGGTGACGGCGACGCTCAGCTACTACCACACCAAACTTTAGCTTAATATCTGTAAAAGTGAGCTGAATGAATTTTTGTGCTGGTGAATACAAGCAGCTGTGGCACACATCTCAAACTCAGAGGGATGGCAGGTTCTTGGGGGGCAGAAGGAGACGGGCTGGGCCCAGGAGCTGGTTCAGGTGGAGGTGGCGATATGGTGGATGGAGTGGTAGGTAGAACAGCAGTTTTCGGTTGATAGCAAACATACTTCCTAGCTCCTCCATATTGGCCTTGGTAGTATGCTGCTACGTGAGGATCTGCTGGAGTTCCTCGTGTTTATCGAAGTGTTTGTTCTGTAATGAAAGTAAATAATGAGTCTGCTCACTGTCAGTCATACTCTGGGGGATGTCTTGGCTTGGACATTCTATCATGATTACTGTTTTAACTCCCCGAGTAGTGTGGACTGAATTGTTCTAGAATTGCGCCGCTCGGGGTTGCTGCATGTTGGAGTAGCTGTTACTTTTATTATGAGTTATTGCTTTTGAAAACTTTAATTCCTATTTTTTTCTGGATGCAAACCACTTTTTTCAGACGATTATTTCCTCTGGTATCAGATGCTGTGCCGATGGAAGGATTTTTACTGAAACATTTTTACTTTTGGGCATTTGTTATGATGCGTAACCATGGCAACAAGGTGTTAAAAAAAAACTAGGAGTCACTGATTAACATCTCAAAAGCTCAAATACCTCAACTACAGTCCCCAATCCCAAATGAGTTGAAAAGGAGGCTCCGTGGACGAATCCCCGTCAACCTGGCGGTGGTGCTCGAGTACCTGACTGAGATCCTGGAGCTGGTGAGAAACTCAGCTTGTGACAATGGGAGGAATGGGATCATCCCCCGGCACCTTCAGCTGTCTGTCCGTGGCGACAAGGAGCTCGGCAGACTGCTGGGAGGAGTGACCATCGCTCGGGGAGGAATTATGTCCGGCATTCGGGCAGACCTGCTGCCCAGGAGGACCAGGAGACTTACCGGATCCGACAGCAAGCTGGATCCAGGTGGATGGATCGGTATCTGTGGCCAGTTTCTTCAGATTCGCTGCAGGAGATCCTTCCTGCCCACAGCTATCAGCATCTAACAATTCTTGAATGAAACCAGGATGATGAGCTACGACGACACTTAATTTCCCTCTGGGATTAATAAAGTTTTTTTTTAATTGAATTGAATTTTGCTTGGGAGGCATGGAGAACTGTTCAGAACTAAAACAGAGGTTCAAAGTGTGCAGCTGGTTCGACGTTACAACTGTAAAGAAATAAAGTTTTTCTGTAGAAACAAGCAGGCTGAGGGAACGAGCTCCTTAAAGCTGCCAAGCTCAACAACTGCTTGCCTAATCACAAATATGGGAAGGTGAGAAAGAAGTTTTCCTTAAAAAAGGTGCAAATTCTTCTGCGTTTTGTTGGAGCTGCGAGGCACTGACTAATGAACTGACTCCCTAACGAGTCATCCCGCTCCACTGGCCTTTTCACAGCTTTCCTGGCATTTGCGCTTAAAAATAATTTCACGTCCCAATGTGTTTCCCTTAAACCGATAAGCTGTGCTTTGTCTCTGCTGAATTAGGGACGATGACATTTACAAATGTTACCGTGCCGAAGATGGGGACATGCGGAATGAGAGGGGTGGTGGTGGGGGGATAATTGGAGACTGGGGTTTGGAGGAGGTGGGTGCCTTGCGTTTCACAAGGGGAGCGTTTTAATAAACCCTATTTGTTTTACATTGAAGAAAGCCTGTCAAGCATCGGCTGTTTTCTGCTCCTTGATTTAATAGCTACATAATTGCTGCAAATGCCAAACACTCACTGCTCAATGTGCAAGTTCCTACACCGATTTCTGCATGTATGTGGAATGTAAGCCATCGGCTGTTTAATGCAATAATTATGAAAACAAAAAATAAATAATGCTGAGTGCCGAATAATTTGCTGAGGAAGCTGAAAGTGAGTTGTTAAAGCTAAAATAAGGAGACCATTAGATAGAATCCAACTGTAGCAAAACACTAGCTGAAAGCTAAAAGTTTCAAAAGGCTAGTTAAAAGTTTAGAGTAGCAGAAGTGGTAATTTTTGAATGAATACTAGAGCTCAGTGTATTTTGATGGATTAGATAAAGTATGTTTTTTATAAAGCTAATAAAAGACAAAAAACCAAAAGTCAAAGTTCTCCTGAATGAGCTGAACGTTTTAATATACGAATGGCTGAAACGGCACAAAGTCTGCAGAAATAGTTGTATAAATGGTAAATGGACTGTACTTACTGTGTATCAGCACCTTTCTATCTTATCAAGATACTCAAAGCTCTTTAAAGCGCTTTGTATTGTAAAAAGTGGACGGAAACGTAGAAAACCAACGTTGGCATAAATACCTCCAAACTGAACCCCATCAGGCTGGTTGGGTTTGAGTGGTTGCTGTGGCGCTTCAACCGCACATCCACCATCCATCTTTAACACGAACCACCTAATAAATTTTTTCTCCATCCAGGATCGAGACAACATGAACACCACTCATCCAGGCGCAAACGTCACCCTTACCCGTGACAGAGGGAACGCCAACCTGACGACCACCACCACCTCCCCCAACATCCCGTGGCCTCCAGCTCATCCGTCAGACATCCACGACCCAGAGTTCACCATCATGGTGGTGCTGGGCTTATCTCTGCTGCTGGCTGCGTTAGCCGTCTTCCTGGCTGTGCGCCGGCGCTTGGAGCAGGACAGGGACTTCGAGGCGAGTTGTGTCCCGGGGGAGGGTCTGCCTCGTAGAGGAGGCATGTCCACTGAGCCCCAGCTCAAGGTGTGGAAGAGGCTGGGTTCATACCGGCGTGCGTATAACATCTCCTTTAGACGACCGCCTCAACGCAGACCACACCAGCCGACCAGGGCGATCCGGTCTACAGGCTCAGAGACCCCACAGCCAGAGGCCAGCGTGGAGCTCCACCTCACCACACCCTGTCTCCGGGACTACGTCACTGAAATCTGACTGCAAGAGAAGGCGACTATCCTTTTAGGTGATAAACTTTATTCCTACAGACTCCTACAAAACTGAAAGGTCTGGCATTCCTCAAAGGAAAACGTATCACAACCCTGAAGGTGTTTCGGTCAAATCTTGACAATACTGCATTGGCGTCAGAAGCATTTGTAATGTGGGGCAGACACACTGGTGGGAGGGTCTGGGGGTCCTCCCCTAGAAAACTTTTAATAAAGTAGATGCTATTTTCTACATTCCGGTGTATTTTAACAGGTTGTTAAACATCTATGTTTACCTGCATATGTAAACACTTGATTCAATAACTATTTTAGAGAGCAACAAGTAGCAGCCTGACCAACAGCTCTCCTTGTGTGAATAGAGCACGCTCCGCTGCTCTCACGCATATGTTCCCCCCTACCCCAGTCAATGACAACTGCTGGAACTAGCTAAGCTAGCAGCGCACAATACAGACACGCTAGCTAGCAAAGATACTACAGACGTATTGCTCCGCTTCTCTCACGCATCCCAACACCCCACCCCCCGGTCAACAACTGCCAGCATTAACGTAGCACAGCTAGCGCGCAACACAGTGACTCCCCCTCATCCCCACGCCCCATCAAGTGACCTCGCGGAGACACTGCATGCGGTGTGGCGACTTGTTGTAGGTAACCAGGAAAACCTGGAGCGGCTTTTTATTGGTTTGAGTATTCTTCTTTTAATCAAGTGGAATGGATTCATTCATGAATAAATAGAAACGGCGTTGGGTGAACTAATATTTCATGGTAAATGTGTATGTGTGTGTGTGTGTTGGGGTGTGTGTGTGTGTGTGTGTGTGTGGGGGGGGGGGTGTTCCAAACAAATATTTTGCTGCAAAATTACTTTAAATTCTTACTTTAGGACATCAGCCATTGGAACAATGTAACACGTTCATTCTGTGGAACAGGGTCGGTCTTTTTTCATGTTTGAAGTATTTTCACTAGATTTTTTTCTGATTAATAAAGAAAATAATAAAACCCAAAAAGTATCACGGCTGTAAAACTTACTTTGATGAACTGATTCAAGCCTTAGAGGACGGGATCTATATTTAGATGGTATAATCTTTCGTAAATGAGTTTTTAAGCTGGTGATTCAGACAAAGTTTTAGCAAATGTGGAGTAGACACAAGTCTTACAGCACGGTGAGTTTTGAACACAAGCTGGAGAACTACAACCTGAGCCGAAAACAGAGCGCTCTGCGAATCATTCAGCAAGTCTTCGATAAACAGGACTGTTTTTTTTCAGTTTCAGATTTAATAGTTTAGGTTTAGGCTAGCTTTTTAGGCTCATTTGTACCTGAAGGATGCTGGTTCCTTGTGGCACCGTCTCCAGGATGCTGGTCTCGTAGCTGTTTTGGAGGAAGATGGGCTTGTTGTCGTTAACGTCCAGCACATCGACGAACACAGTGGCGGTTCCGGTCCTTCGGCTGCCTGCCGGACCGTTGTCTATGTGGAAAAAAACCACGTTTATAGGACTGTCACTAAGTTCGATGTGGTCAAAGTTATGAAACCTTCTAATCTAATAAACATACTAATAGAGTAAATATTGATTCAGGATTCATGTTATTTTCTAGTTTTTATTGTTCTGTACACGTTTTTATGACCTAACTGCTTCTGCAGACTTTTTGATTTATTTTAGCTGTTCGTATATCAAAACGTTCCGCTCATTCAAAAGATTTTTTGGTATTTGGGACTTTTGTACTTTTCTAAATATTCAATTTTATTTACAAATGTTTTTACCATAGAATACATTGAGATCTTAGATTCCTTCAAACACTTTGTTCTCTTTGAAATCCCCTTCAATGCACTCTGAGCTTCTTGCTAGCGTTTTGCTACTTTTAACATTTAGCTAGCCTTTTGCTGCCTATTGTTTTCAGCTAACTCTTTGCTACTTGTGACACCTTTTTCTGTTTTTAGTTAATGTACAGCTACTTTTACCATTTAGCTAGTTTTAGCTTTATGGCTAGTTTTAGTTTAATCTAGTCTTTAGCTACTTTTAGGATTCAACCACCATTTTGCTACCTTTAGTCTTCAGCTAAACTTTTGCTACTTTTAGCTTTCAGTTGGCTTTTTGCTAGTTTGCTGCAGTTTGACATTTACAGCTTTTAGCTAACCTTTTGTCGCTGTTAGCTAGATTTGCTATACAGTATTTATAATTTAGCCACTTTTAGTAACCATTTGTCATTTTGCTACTCAGATATTTTAGCTAGCCTTTTGTTATTAAACGTTTTTAGCTAACTTTTGCTACTTATAACTTTTAGACAACCTTTTGCCGTTGTAATCTAGTGTTCTGTTACTTCTATCATTTAGATATGTTTAGCTTTTATATAGTTTTAGGTTTTAGCTATATGTGCACAACTTTTTGTTTTCAGCTATCTTTTGCTACTTTTAACTTGCAACTAGCCTTTTGCTAACTTGCATTTTCAGCTAGCGTTTAGCTATTTTTAGGTCTCAGCAAGCCTTTTGCTACTTTTAGTTTTATGACAACTCTGATATTAATAGCTTTTAGCTACCTTTTGTTGCTGTTAATTAGTATTTAGCTATATGTATAATTTAGCCATTTTTAGCTTTTAGCTAGTGTTTTGCTGCTTTTAGCTTATAGCTAGTCTTCTGCCTTTTTTTTTTGTTTGTTTCCTGAAAGTGCTTTGCTACTTTTAACTAGCATGCTGCTTCTTTAGTTAGTGGCTAATGTTCTGCTTTAAACACTCAGGTGCATCTTCTTCGGCACCTCCTCTCATTTGCTCCCTGAGGCTTGATCCTTCAGCTGCTCACTTCCTCCATGAATGTTCACAGCTTAAAGGTGGAATAAAGACTAAAGTCATAATTTTTAATATATAATTTAAATTACAGACGGACAAAAATGTGAAACAGGCAGTTAAGCCACGTCAAAATCACTGCCGCTGTGCAGAAAGCTTTTTTTAAACAATGTTCACATTTGAATAAAATAAAACAGCAGCTTCAACAGCAACAGAAAAACATACTATTATTGTATTTTTATAAACTGTATACAGATTTGAAAAGCACTATGAGAAGGCTTTTTATTTGTTTAAAAGATATGAAAGTTTAAGACGAACCTATTGCTTCAACAACAAGTGTATAAGCAGCCTGGGTCTCTCTGTCGAGGCCCACCACGGTCCGAACAATCCCATCTCTGAAGCCCACGCTGAATTTACCATCTTGGTTCCCACCTAAAAATAAATAAAATACAAATGACACAGAACATATTTTCTAATTGAACTAAAGCATTGCTATAAAACAATTCATTAATGCAAAAAAAAAAAAAAAAGGATGCAAGAAAAGCTCAAACTCACACAAAGATGAACAGATGGAAGACGTACACCACGTCATCTAAAGTCATGGGGAAAAGAAGCTCCGCCCTCTTTAACTCCAGGGTTATGAACCAAAATACTCAGACTAAACTAAAACGATCCAACACTTACCACAAGGGAACAAAAACACACAGACCCCACCACATCAATATTTATGAAAGAAAAAAGTTAAAGCTGTGAGTGAAAAACTGGACCCAGCCTAGCTGCTTCCACAGATGTGTGTTAACACGACGCCAAGGTGGAAAATCATCAGAAATGAACGGCTGCTGCTGTCCATCCCTCTAGAAAAGGATCAAAGGTCATTTCAAAACTATCCATCGTTCTACAGAGAGAATTGACATTCACAAGTGGAAACCATTGAAGACAGCTGACAATCTTCACAGGAGTGGCAGCAACTTCACCCCGAAGGTCAGACCGTGCACTGCTCAGAGGAATGAGCTCCATCTCAGACTCTACAGGCCTCAGTGAGCAGGTCAAAGGTCATGATTTGTTGGGAAGAACTGCACAAATAAACAACTCTTCTGTCTAAAAACAACTTGGCAGCAAGTCTTGGGTTTGTAGTTTGATTAGAAGGAACCACAAGACTTCTGGAACCAAACCAGACCAAAAAAGAGCTTTTACCCAGAATGCACTGCAGCAAACCGCTCCTCCCAGCTGTCAGCACAGTGGTGGAGGGCTGATGGTTTGGGTTACTTGCGATCATTTTAGTCAGACCAAAGAGCTCTGGAGTCACATGCGAGCTCATCTGTGCAACAACTGGAGCTTTGACCAAGTAGGCCCAGCAAGACCATGATCCTAAACAGCAGCTGATCTACAACGGACCGGGTCAAAAAGAACAGAACCAAGGTGCTGCAACGGTCCAGTCAGAGTCCAGAACCTGAACCTGACTGAAACAGTGATGGGAACCTTCAGAGAGCTGAGCAGAAACTGTAATGAACTGAAGCAACGATGCAAAGAAGAGTGGGTCAAAACTCCTCCTCAACCAAGAGAGAGACTTCTAAAGGAGACGCAGTCAGTGCCGCAGTCTTGTAATCCTCAAGCCGCACGTTCGAGCCCAGGCTGTGTCAGAAAACCTTTGTTTGCTGCAGCGCCGACTTCCTGTTAAAGAGAGCCGCCGAAACTAAAACAACATAAAACCCACAAACTGAAACAGAGTGGACTTGACCCTCCCATGACGGTATCTGCATCGGTAACCTACACACACGCCTAACCACCGTGACCTCTGACCTGTGATGAAGTAGCTGAGCTCGGCGTTGAGACCGGTATCGTTGTCGGTGCAGATGAGGCGCGCCACGATGTAGTCTCGAGGGATGTTCTCCAGCAGGGAAACGTTGTAGAGGCGGGGGCTGAAGGTGGGCGTCTCATCGTTTACATCCAGAACTGAGACACATGCACGCACACACACACACACACACAAATACGGCAGCAGTTTATGACACAGAAAAAAAAAATTAGTTTGCTTTTGCCCCGTTTTAGTTTCGGTCCCACCAGCAGGGGGCAGCATGCTCCTTATCACCTTCACAGACCGCCTTCATTCAGAACCAGCTCTTCATCATGAAAAGATCCAGAACGACCGGTTCAGGACGTTCAGAAACCCCGAACCTTCTCACCTGAGACGGTGAGAGTGGAGGTGGACGTTCGAGGGAAATCCCCGGCATCGTACGCAACGATTCTCAGAAAGTACTGTCCGATCTGCTCCCGATCCAGGACCGCAGTGGACGTGAGGACCCCAGAGGTGCTGTTCAGGAAGAAGTCGAGGCGAGGCATGCCCATCCGCAACGCCATGGTGATCAGACCGTTCTTACCCTCATCCGGATCTTCCACCTGAACCTAAATGACGATAAAGGACGTTGAGAATCCCGTTTTGAAAAAAGCATCAAGTCATGGTCTAACAACGTTAAGTCAGGTCCTCTGGACAGATCAAAAGAAAACAAACAAACAACAATGTTGAAATGCTTCGTCTTTCATCCAAAGGACTTCTTCAGTCTGAGGAGCTGCAACAAACTCAGTCTTATAAATAGCACCTTCTCATAGTGGATCTACCAGTTTGTTGTTGACATCCAGAACAAGCTGCTCACATGATGGAAGACCATCATTCTAACGACTGATTTTCCTGAAGGCCGCTTGTTATTCACAGGGGGCTGAGTGATACTAGCAATAACAGCATTGTAAGAGGGGGACAGTTGGACACGGAGGCTCCGCCCCTGTTTAATGATGGACGGGTTCTCTTCACAAAGACGGCCTCCTTCATTCCTCTCTCAAACCATCGTTCCTCTCCATCAAGGATGTGAACATCTTCATCCCTGAATGAGTGACCTTTGACCTGCAGATGAGTGTAGACCTCAGAGTCCTGGCCTGATGATGTTGCTCTTCTGTGGTTTGAGAGAGGAGTGAAGGAAGTCCATATGTCAACTTTACCCATGTCTTCCTTTTCAGGTCGCAGGGGGTCACAGTTTGAGAGGTGGGGGACACCCTGGACATGTCTCCAGTCACATCAGCCTAACATGCATGTTTTTGGTCTGTGGGAGGAAACTCACGTATGCACAGAGAGAACATGCAAACTCCACCCCCTCCACTCCAGGAATCCATCCAGAGGACTTGGACCTTGACTTTGTTACTTTTTTCTACCTGGATTCTTGTGCAGCATCAGGACTTCAAATCATTAGTTTTTAAATTAATCTTGTGTTTACCTTAAAAATTGAAGTTCCTACAGGCAATCCCTCCAGGATTTCAGCGACGAAGGGCAGATTGAGAAAAGTTGGGTCGTTGTCGTTCAGGTCCAGCAGGTTGACAGAAACTGTGGCGCTTGCTGTTGCACGCAGTGCGGGTGTTCCACCTAGAGAGGGCGCCAGAGCGGAGCAACAAGGACACGCACACAGTTTGTGGATTTAAAAAGAGTGTGAATGTTGTTTGGAGACAGGAAGTGAAGTCCTGAGCACTCACGGTCGACGGCCGAGATGACGATTGTCCTCATGAGCACTGCGTCTCTGACGTTAGTGCTTTCCCTGTCCAGGGTGAGTCCACTGGTGCGGATCTTCCCCGTCCTGTTGTCAATTGTATAGAAAGGGTTTACTGGACTTATGCTGTACACGACTGTCCCGTTTTCCCCGTTGTCAGGGTCCACGGCCAACACCTGGGACAGGAACAGAGACAGAGAGAAATGGGTGAAGGACAGAAGTTTCCTCGGGTGTTTTACTCGACGATAGCGAGCCGAGGCTGCGAGGACAACAGTGATTTATGACAGAAACTGGAGGGAGAGACAAAAAAAGAGGACAGACTGAGGAAATGAACCAGGAAAACAGCAGGGATTTAATAGTATTGATAATGGGAATATCCCCTTCCAAGTCTCTGAGCATCCCCCCCCCCCCCCCCACACACACACACAACTCCGTCAGCTAAAAAGAAAAATGCTAACAGACTGCGTTTTTTGACACGCAGCCGTGATGGATAATAAACGTAAGCAGCCCAGTTAAAAACCACAGGCTGATAGTTTTTAAACAGCTGATTAATTATTCAGTGTATGCTGACTGAAAACGTTGGAAACTAGTTAATTGGTCATTAGAGGAACAAAGACTTTGGTGTATTTAATTATTAATAAGAATGCCGGGGTCCTGTCCGTTCCACTGATTAGCATCCACGCAGATAAGGTGATATAATATGTGGGAAAAAATACATGAAAAGCTGGAATCAAGTCCGTCCAGTTGATGTTCTCTGGTCCGAGCGGAGCACATTAAAAGAACGGGAGCAAATATATCTGCCAAGTCGATTTAACAGCAGAGTGGCAGGAAGGAGGAGGGTGCTTTGAAAGAACGCGGTGCACGGTGTGTGTTCTGTCAGAAGCTGAATTTAAGAGCGATGACAGTGGGGGTGCTGCGAGCTTCGAGTGGGCTGATCCTTCTACCGGGCACAGCGGCAGAATTCATCGGCTCACTGGACATCTCCAGAAGGAATCAGCAGGTGGCCTCCGGTCACCATAGAAACACCGGTCGGACCAGCACTGCACCGGGCCAATTACAGAACTGTAAGCATGGATGGTCAGATTCATTGGAAAGTGGTTAGAGGAGCGCCGGCGTCTGAGAGAAGCACATACGGTATGCATTGCACTGCTGGATGCACCGTGAAGGAAATCAACAGCTAAAAGAAAGCCCGAGCGGGAGCAGCAACGATTCGGCTCTTTTGACGCTCCTCTTCGCCGTTTCACACTTTTCCTCTGAAAAACGGGCTCTCGCTTCCTCTTCTGCCTAGCAGCTGAATAATTTGTAATGCAAACGACCACAGGCTACACTTTAATTAGCAATCAGACTCCCTTAATTACGCTCAATGACGCCTCTTTAATTAATGGACAATCAGGGCTTAATTACAAACAACACGTTCGCCAAAGACGATGCAGGACGATGAAGAGTTTAGAGTGAGAGTAGAGTTTACTTTGTGATGACCTATGCAGTTATGGAGGTTTGTTCATCCATTAGATGCACAAATTCAGCCTTTTATCCTCCGTCAACAACAACTCCAAGTATCTTTGAAACAGCGGAGAACCAGTGGTGAGTTCAGCCTCTTTTTGGGGGGTGAAATGTTAACAGCACCCCTGAAAAATAAAGAAACCACCATTAGGGTGTTGTAAGGAAACTCAGTTCTCAAACCTGATTCACCAAAATGTTTAATAAATTTGGAATAAAAATGGAATAAATGATGACACTCTTTAATGGGCCGGTAAAATAAATGATTTTTATTTTTTTCACGAGTCAGATCCTCAACACCACCTGTCAATCAATCCAGCAGGCTTGTCAGCAACTGACCAAACAGCAACCTTAATTTGTCCCAAAGGTAAACGCCTCTTACCTGCAGGAGCTCCACCCCCTTTTCCTCCAACAACATTGTCAGGGTTTTGCATTACAAAAACTTTGCAGTCCGAGGGATTTAATGAAAAATCATCAGAAAAACTTGTTCAACGTCAGCGGAGAACATATAATTCAGACAGCGTTACGCTGAGTGTTTAATACATTTTATTACATTTCAAAAACATAAACAGAGTCTGGAAAAACGTAAAAGAAGATAAATGCTGGTGGCTGAATATAACAGTTATAAACAGGAAGTACAACATGTTCATCTGTATGAAAAACTGCAAGTAAATCCTCCATTTTCAGTCATAAATACTTTGTATGCGTAAAGGTTAAATTAAAGGCTAATGCTTTAAGCTAGTTAGCTAGCAAAGCTAGCTTTGTTTTATTTGGTTTACATGTAGATATACAGGTCCTTCTAAAAAAATTAGCATATTGTGATAAAGGTCATTATTTTCCATAACGTAATGATAAAAATGAAACTTTCATATATTTCAGATTCATTGCACACCAACTGAAATATTTCAGGTCTTTAATTGTTTTAATACTGATGATTATGGCATACAGCTCATGAAAACACAAAATGCCTGTCCCAAAAAATTAGCATATTTCATCCCACCAATGAAAGACAAGTGTTTTTAATACAAAAAACGCCAACCTTCAAATAATCATGTTCAGTTATGCACTCAATACTTGGTCGGGAATCCTTTTGCATGAATGACTGCTTCAATGCGGCGTGGCATGGAGGCAATCAGCCTGTGGCACTGCTGAGGTGTTATGGAGGCCCAGGATGCTTCGATAGCGGCCTTAAGCTCATCCAGAGTGTTGGGTCTTGCGTCTCTCAACTTTCTCTTCACAATATCCCACAGGTTCTCTATGGGGTTCAGGTCAGGAGAGTTGGCAGGCCAATTGAGCACAGTAATACCATGGTCAGTAAACCATTTACCTGTGGTTTTGGCACTGTGAGCAGGTGCCAGGTCGTGCTGAAAAATGAAATCTTCATCTCCATAAAGCTTTTCAGCAGATGGAAGCATGAAGTGCTCCAAAATCTCCTGATAGCTGCATTGACCCTGCCCTTGATAAAACACAGTGGACCAACACCAGCAGATGAAATGACACCCCAGACCATCACTAACTGTGGGTGCTTCACACTGGACTTCTGGCATTTTGGCATTTCCTTCTCCCCAGTCTTCCTCCAGACTCTGGCACCTTGATTTCTAAATGACATGCAAAATTTGCTTTCATCCGAAAAAAGTACTTTGGACCACTGAGCAAAAGTCCAGTGCTGCTTCTCTGTAGCCCAGGTCAGGTGCTTCTGACGCAGTCTCTTGTTCAAGAGTGGCTTGACCTGGGGAATGCAACACCTGTAGCCCATTTCCTGCACACGCCTGTGCACGGTGGCTCTGGATGTTTCTACTCCAGACTCAGTCCACTGCTTCTGCAGGTCCCCCAAGGTCTGGAATCGGCCCTTCTCCACAATCCTCCTCAGGGTCCGGTCACCTCTTCTCGTTGTGCAGCGTTTTCTGCCACACTTTTCCCTTCCCACAGACTTCCCACTGAGGTGCCTTGATACAGCACTCTGGGAACAGCCTGTTCGTTCAGCAAGTTCTTTCTGTGTCTTACCCTCTTGCTTGAGGGTGTCAATGATGGCCTTCTGGACAGCAGTCAGGTCGGCAGTCTTACCCATGATTGTGGTTTTGAGTAATGAACAAGGCTGGGAGTTTTTAAAAGCCTCAGGAATCTTTTGCAGGTGTTTAGAGTTACGTCGTTGATTCAGATGGTTAGGTTAATAACTTGTTTAGAGAACCTTTTCATGATATGCTAATTTTTTTGGGACAGACATTTTGGGTTTTCATGAGCTGTATGCCATAATCATCAGTATTAAAACAATTAAAGACCTGAAATATTTCAGTTGGTGTGCAATGAATCTGAAATATATGGAAGTTTAATTTTTATCATTACATTATGGAAAATAATGACCTTTATCACAATATGCTAATTTTTTGAGAAGGACCTGTATGTTGCAACTTCTGATTGCATAAGTTTAGTCTTTGTTTGTTATGATCTGTTAACACTAAACTGATTTTGTACAAAGCGTTTATTAGGTTTAATATAAAGCGGAGCGCTACGTCTGTAGCAAGCGCGTCTGTATTGCACGGTGATAGCTTAGCGCTACATTAGTGCCAACAGTTTGGTTAGGATGTATGAGAGAACCGGAGCGTGCTCTCTTCACACAAGGAGAGCTGTTGGTCAGGCTACTCTAAAATAGTTATTGAATAAAGTGTTTACTTAAGGGGGTAAATGTAGATGTTTAACAATTCATTAAAATACACCAGAATGCAGGAAATGGCATCTACTTTATTCAAAAATTTATGGGGAAGGAGCCCTAGATCCCTCCCACCCACCCACCCACTTTACAAATGCTAGTTCAAGCCAAGAGCCACTGTCAACACTGGGGGCTAAGCACCCCTAAAGGGCAGATTCTAGAATCGCCCCTGTGGAGCAGTTTAAACGAAGGACTTCGATGCTTTAAAACGTCTTTTCTGCTCATTAATTTTGTCGTATTTAGTTTGTCAAAGTTTGCCACAAAATAAAACAACAGAGTAATAAAAACAGTAAAATAAATGTTTGATTTTTCTTTAGGCTGCTCCCGTCTGCTGGGGTAGCAAAGTTTTAAACAACGATGCAAAGTCTGTTAGCTCTCAGTATTTCTGTTATGAATCACTCTCAGCTACTACCATACCTAATTTTAGCTCCGTATTTGTAAAACTAACTGAATTATAGCCAGTAATGTGTTTTTATAATCAGTTGTCGTTAACAGCTTGAATCAGGTTGTGGAGGCACATTCAATAACTTTCTGAAAGCTCCAATAAAATCCGTCTAGTGGCTCAAGAGATATTTTGCTGACACATATAACTGCTCTCCTTTCTTTGTGAGAGGCGATATAAATGCCCAATCTAATGAAGATAAGTTCACCATATTACTTATTCTAACACAACCCAGGATATTATTTAGATTTTTTTCCCGTCTTTCTATTATAATTGATTTATTTCGGTCAAGTTCAACGGGTCGTACTCACTGAGATGACGTCGGTGTTTTTTGGACTCATTTCCACCACGTTGGCGTCGTACGGCTCGTCTATCCACACAGGGGCGTTGTCGTTGATGTCCAGGACGGTGATGTTCACCTGAAATAACGAGGAGGGTTTTAACGAAGTAAAGATCTTCACGTGTGTTCCTGAACGACCTTCAACCACCACGGCTCTCCAGCCAGCACCGTGTTCTGCTGACAGTTGGAAAGGTGTTCACGCTGACTCTGCTTTTGTCTTCTTATACTACTGTTAGCTTTTAGCTGGTCTTTTGCTACTTTGAGCTTCTAGCTATTTTTGTGAAAATGTTCATGAAGCATTCATTCTACGGTCATCCATTTTTCTTACATACATTTTTGGCGTGATTCTCGTCCCACAGTTTTCAGCTATTTCAACAAATCATAAATCAAATTGTTCGGCTCTTTCAGGACAATCCTGTTATGACTTTTGGTATTGGTGCAACTTTAGCTTTTTGAAATATTTAGCCTTTTCTGACATTTTTTTCTCATAGAAAATGAATTGAGCTCATTTTACTACCTTCAGATCTTTAGATCTGTTCACAACCTTTTACTGCTCCTTTCACATTTTGTTCCGTTTCAGCTTCTTTCAGCTTCCTTCTGCAAAACATCAGCTAATTTCAGCTGTTTTGTGCTCCTTTCAGGATCTTTCTGCTAACTACAACATTTTTGTGCTTCTTCAAACTTATTTCTGTTAATTTCAGCTTGTTTTGCTCCTTCTAGTTTATTTCTGCAAAATTTAGCTTTTTCTGCTATTTCAGCTATTATTTTACTGTCTTTATGCTAATTTTAGCCTTTACACTTAATTTCACATTAATCGCACTCATTTGAACTTTTTTAAGGCTAAAAAAGTGCTCTCTCCACTTCCTTCTGGAAACTTAAGCTTCATTCTGCTTTTTAAGCTACTTTTCAGCTGTTTTATTTAGCTAATTTTGTTTGGGTTTTTTTCAGAAAATTTCCACTTTTTTGTGCTAATTTCTGCTTCTTTCAACCTAATGAGGCAAGCATGTGTTCTTTCTACTTTCTTCTGCTTACTAAACTTGTTCTACATTTTCAGCTACTTTTTAAAACATTATTTTTTTGCATTTTTTAGCTAGTTTCAGCTGCTTTTGAACAAATTAATGTTTTTCATGGTAATTTTCACTACTTTCAGCCTAATTACCAGTAACTTATTTATTCTAATTTGTGCTTATGCTCCTTTCTGTTTTTTTTTTTTTTAGCTATTTCAGCTAAAATTTTGCTGTTTTATGCTAATTTTAGCTTTTTCAGCTAATTCCACATTTTTTTTTAGCTCATTTCAGCTCTTTCCGCTTCCTTCTGGTTGCTTCAGCATCTTTCTGCCTTTTCGGCTTCTTTTTTGCTAATTTCACCTTTTTTAATCTACATTCCTAATTTTTGTGATAATTTCTGCTTATTTAAATTGTATTTCAGCAAATGTGTGTTCTTTCTGCTTTCTTCTACTAATTAAGGCTTATTCTTGAGTTTCAGCTACATTTCAACAGTTTTTCAGCAAGTTCTTCTACAATAAGCATTAACATTGCATTTTCACAGGAAATGCAATTTCTCTAGTTTTATTTTATTTTCAGTTTTAGCTAGTTTTTTGGTGTATTTAGGTTTTAGCAAAAAAACTGCCACATTTAATTCTTTAATCTTTTATCCTTTATTTAGCCATTTCCTACTTTTAGCTTCTAGCTAGCCTGTTAATACTTGTAACTAGCTTTCCGATATTTCTAGCATTTAGTCAGTGGCATTTATTTATTTTTAGCTTTATGTTAGCTCGTTAATACTTAAGATGGCTGTTTGATATTTTTAGATTTTAACTAGCATTGAGCTACTTTTAGTTTCTGGCTAACCTTTTTTTATATTTTAGCTAACCTTTATTTTACTCTGTTACTGCCATTAGTTGGCTTTGCTTTTACTTTTAGCTTTGATACGTTTAGTTCTTAATATTTTAGCAACCCTTTACGTTACTTCTGACTATTAGCTAGCTTTGTAAAACTTTTAGCTTGCAGCTAATCTTTTTAGCTTTCAGCTAGTGTTCTGCTTGTTTTAGCTTTAGCAGCTCAGTTTCAGGTTCTTGAACATATTTCAGCAGTCGTTCTGCGTTGACACTGAATTTTCACAGAATTACAGCAGAATTATCGAGCAGAGCAGATAAACGGTGGTATTGTTACCGTGGCGATGCCAGTCTTCTGCTGTGGACCAACCCCTCCATCCACGGCTCGGACTATCAGGATGTACTCAGCCTTTTGCTCTCGGTCCAGGAAGGCTGTGGTGGTGATCTCTCCTGAAGCACAGAACAAAAACACGGTTGTCTTGGAAGACTCATAAAACACTCAGTTTGGTGTCTCCTGGTTGCCTTCAGATCTCTGGATGGATTGAAGCAGCCCACCTCTGGTGCCAGACACCGCACGAGTGTCAGGAAATAGATTCAAACGTTAGACTAACCGGCCATATTTGTTTACCTACTAATGTCGGACCGTCGCTCAAGCTTCCACTTGTTTTTTGACTAATTCAGTCCAGCATTTGTTTACATTGAGTGCAGACCCACTTTAGAGAACTGCATTTTAATAAATGTTGAAATCTACCAGAGCAAACTCTTTCAATCGACACCATAAAGTTCAGGAGAACTGGTTTATTTTTCCTTTCATGCTTTGAGTACCTTTAAACTCCGTTATGATTGTTGGGGGATGTCTCTCAGCTACACTAAACTTTATCTCAGTATTTGTAAAGAATTTCTGCTTTTTTGTGTTTGTTCAGGATGCTTAGCTGTGGCGGCCATCTTGAACCAAAAGTTAACTTGTTGTGGAGTCGCATCCATCAATTATTTCCTGAACGTGCATAAATAAATTTACACATAATGTTTGTGATAGACAAACTTAAAACAAAAACCAAAGCCCCAGTTACATGTACAATAAAACAAACGACATGTCCATACCCGAGCGTGAATTGATGCGGAACTGAGAGGAGCCTTCCAGGGAATAGATGAGTGAGGCCTGACCAAACTCCTGAGAGGCATCCAAGTCTGTCGCATTCACAACCAAAACAGTCGCTCCTGCAGAGGGAGGAAATTGAATGGAAATTTTAAAATAATTGACCTTTCGACCCCCTTAAAAAGCACCAATCGGCACCAAACTTACAGGCTAACTGCAGAAGGACACCTTCTACAACATATTAAAGCTTGGTGTTCCTGGGTACTTCCTGTCCAGAGTTATGGCTGCTCAAACATTTGTTTTATTAACACAGGACCTAATAGGTGACCTTTAGACCTTTGACGTGCCATTTGACCCCTTAGGAATGACCTAGAGGGCCCAAACTCACAGGGTATGATCAGCAGGACCCAGCTTCAACATATTATGGTTTGATGTGTCTGGGTACTTCCTGTTCAGAGTTATGGCTGCTCAAATACTTGTTTTACCAACACAGGGCATGATAGGCGACCTTTTCATCTTTGGAGTGGTCTTTGACCCCTTAGGAACCACATAGAGGGCCCAAGCTCACAGGGTACAATCAGGAGAACCCTAGCTACAACATATTAAGGTTTGGTATTCCTAGGTACTTCCTGTCCAGAGTTATGGCTGCTCACATACTTCTTTTACTAACGCAGGGCCTAATAGGTGACCTTTTGACCTTTGGAGTTTTGTTTGACCCCATAGGAAGGACCTAGAGGGCACAAACTCACAGGGTACAATCAGCAGGATCCTAGCTACAGCATATTACGGTTTGATGTGTCTGGGTACTTCCTGTCCAGACTTATGGCTGCTCAAACACTTGTTTTTGTACTAACACAGGGCCTGATGGGCGACCTTTTGATTTTTGGAGTGCCCTTTGACCCCTTAGGAACCACATAGAGGGTCTAAGGTCACAGAGTACGATCAGCAGGACCCCAGCTACAACATATTAAGGTTTGCTGTGTTTTCCAGAGTTATGGCTGTTGTTACACTTATTTCCATAAGACATGAAGTTACAACTCACTGAGTGAGAAAAGAACCACGATGTTTAGGAAGAAGGAGAAACAGACAGCTGCAGAGCCAACATCTTCACCGCCCCCGTCCTCAGCAACACTTCTGGTAGCGAGTGGGTTCATGGATTAGTGGATTATCAGCCCCTTCTTGGCACAGCGGTAATCAATACCAAGGCTAGTGAGGGGATGAGATGCTAGTGAAAGCCACGGGGCTAGCCCTGAGCGCCGTCTCGACGCACACGCCTCAGGCCTCCAGCTCAGGGTCAAATACTTCAGACGCATTCTCCTGAACTTCAGCGCCCGTCCAAGCTGTTCGGCTAAGTGCTTCTCTAACCAGGAGCTGAATAATAAAACGTGGCCAGATCTGCTGGAGCCCAGCGAGAAGAGAGGGCGGCGCTGTCAAATATCCCATCTCCCTCAAGCAACGGGAAGCTAATCTATTGTCTAGGAAGAAAAGAGCCTTTGCATGCATGAGAATACAACAGCCGCTGATTTCCCCATAAATTGTCAATATCCCACATTCTGATCGAGCATTCTACATCATTATCCAAAGAAAGACAAATAAAACGGCACAGGTTAGAGGACAGAAGAGGAATAAAACATACCGCCGTGAAAAAATAACCTGAGGAAAATAAAACTATTTGCTGAATGTGCCATTATCAGTTCCAACACGTTGTGGTTGGAAGCTGCAGCAGGTGTGAAAACCAGATCCTAGTAGCTGAACTGACTCACCGGCGATGATGTTCTCTGGGATTTTGATGATGTAAGACTGTTTGCTGAACTCAGGCGGGTTGTCATTTTCATCCTGAAAAAGGAACAAACAAGAAAGAACTCGCATCAGATGCTGAGAAAGTCCAGGACAGGAAGTGAAATGATGCAAAAATTGAGATTAAAATGAAAAAGAATGAAGTGAAAGAGAAATTATCTGAAAAATCAGATTGAACACGGAGCTGAAACCTGCCGATGTCCCCCGTCGCTGAGGGATTTGAATATTGAAAGTAGTTTATAAGATGAGTGTTTTTCTGGACTGGAGCTGAACACGAGTAAACCTAAATGTTTTTGGTGCAACGTGTTCATGTGGGGACGAGATACACTGCGGAGAACAGAAGGAGTTTATGTTCATGTCTGAGGCCGAGCAGAGGAACGGATCTCTGTGAGTGGAGGAAGTCGTTTTTACCAGGTGCAATGGCGGAGCCAGGGGGAGGCCATTGGGGGCCTTTGTCACCATAAATCAATCTTCTACCACCCCACCGGTCAGCAAAATCATTTGAGGAAACTGCACTATGAAGCAACATAAAAACTAAAATGCATAGTTTTCTTAAATTATCAGGGTGGTTGATTTACAAATATATGTGGCGGCAGCCATCTTGGATTTTGTCCTGTCAACCCAATTTTCGTTAGTTTCCTTTCCTGCAACTAAGTGCAGCCGCACACCAAAATGGAAGATTGGCATATTACTTATTATTCAAGTTATCCAGCTCACAAGACAGATGGACAAATATGGCGGTGGCCATCTTGGATTTTGACATAGCAACCCAGTTTTTGATAGGAACCTTTTGTTTGTTGCCTAGATGCAGCCACACACCAAAATGAAAAGTGACACCTCACTTATTTTTTAAGTTTTCATGCTCACAAGACAGACGAAATGTATTTTTAATTCCCCTTTTTGCTCCATAATGGGTGGGACAAAAAGCTTAAACTGAGTTCTTAAAGCTAAAGGTAGAACACTAGCTAAACAGTACAAACATAAAAAGTAGCAAAAAGGCAGCTAAAAGCTAAAATTCTTAAAAAGCTAAAAGTAGCAATACATTACCTGAAAGCTGCAAAAGGTTAGGTAAAAACTAAAAGTAGCAAGATGAAAATTGTAACTTTGATCTTGGCTGGGGCAACATGGTGGCTCAACTGGTAGAGTTGCTGCCTTTCAGTGAGAAGGTCACCGGTCCAAATCCTGGCCAGGGGCCTTTCTGGGTGGAGTTTGCATGTTCTCTCCGTGCATGCGTGGGTTTTCTCCAGGTACTCCAGTTTCCTCCCACAGACCAAAAACATGCATGTTAGGCTGATTGGTAACTCTAAATTGTCCCTAGGTGAGAGAGAGAATGGTTGTTTGTCTCTGTGATGGACTGGAGACCTGTCCAGGGTGTCCTCCGCCTCTTGCTCAGTGACTGCTGGATATGAGCACCAGTGACCCCCATGACTTGAAAAGGAAGAAGCGGATAAAGATAATGGATGGATGGATGGATGGATGGATGGATGGATGGTCGGTCTTGGTGTGAGAGTTCTGCTCTGGAGCCACCTGAGCACCAATCAGCAGCGCCTGAGGATCATCGGCTTGATGAGCAAGAGGAGCATAAAAGGCTGCAGAGGACGTCCAGTCAGCGCTGGAGCATTACCTGCTGATGGGAGTTCTGTTCCAACCTTTCACTCGTGAGTTCAACTGAATATTAACAACTTTGTATTTGTCTCTGTGCTTCCAGTAAATAATCCCTGAGGTCCTTCTGTCCCCTGGATTCTCCTCTGTGGACCTCAAGCTCATGTGCCTCCACACCTTCCTACCACTTGCCTGTCTACTGCCATTGTTCAGATGAACACGTTCTTCGCCTGGAACCATTTGGGTCAGCTCACCCCACTACTGACTCCCAGCTCCCTCCCTGGTTCACTGAATGATTTATCACTTTATAAATAATCACTGTAAATATATTTTGAGTCTTGGTATGCATCTCCTTGGTCCTTGTATCTGGGTATAGCTGCAATCGATAAACTTGGCTGGACTTGTCCTGTCAGAATTCATATTTACCCTGCCTGAAGCACAGAAATCCACTGCAGACCAGCTGAAATGTCCCTTTAACACATTCACATGTAATTAAAAAGGTGATTTGACACGTATAAATGGCAACAACATGGAACAGCATATGCCTACATTTAATTTCCCTCAGCCTCCCACTCATGAATGAGACCGTCTCACACCAGCACTTCGAGCTGTGTGGCTATTCAGACCGAGGAGTCCCACAGCGCGAGCTGCTGAGAATGTTAACACTTCGACAACAGTCACTGCTACAATTATCTGTTTGGACTCTGCTGCAACGCTTTGTGTGAGTGTGACGCTGCCAGCCACTGATAAACCCCCGCGGCGTGAGCCCCGACGCCACGGAGAACCGCGAGACGGAGGGAACGCTGAAAGCTGCACATCCATCCCGACTGGTTTGCAGCGTCTCAACCTTAAACCTCGTATAGGAATCCTCACGGTCCTTGCATATCAAAGCATATCCTTCTGTCCTTCGGTGGCTTTTCTCCTTCCATGAATAAAAAGTTAACATGTATAATGAATGGCTATCATGGGAGAAGGCAGCCAGGGGTCTGAGGATTTTTTATGAGCTCTGGCTGCTCATTAGGCTTTTATTGCTGTATTTATAGTCGGGAAAGGTCAACATTCATGTTTTTTATGTGAAGGTTAACGAAAAAAAATGTTTAAAATTATATTTTACAAAATATTTTACACCAGTCATAACAATTTGAGACAGAGGAGTTCAGTGTTTTATTATAATCAGTTCATTAGAAGTGTTTGAAGGATTTTAAATAACTTGTGCCGATTATGGTTTTGTCTGGTCAGTTATATTCTTTAACACGCACCGAGTGTTTGTTAGTTTCACGTCTCCAACGGCTGCAACAGATAGAGACAAAATCATGAAAAAAATCTGATAAATACACCAAAGTTTGTGTGAACCCCTGATAAAATGTGAGCCAGAATGTCCTGGGGGGGGTTGCATATGTATCACTATAACAGTCAGTTTTAAAAATGATTTTTTTTTGGCACTCTAGAGTTACAGAAATTAAACTGAGAAGTGTTCGAGACAGATTCTAGATGCTCACAATGAGAGTTACCATTTTGAAAATATATAAATAAAAATAAAAAGGACAAATATATGTTTCTGGACATGTTAAAAACTCCTAGTGTTAGTTTTTGTTGACAGGAACCATTGGCATCAGAAGCATTTGTAATATGTGTGTGTGTGTGGGGGTGGGGTGGGGGGTGGGAGAGACACTCATGGGGGAGTCTAGGGGTCTTCCCCCATAAAAATTTGAATAAAGTAGATGCCGTTTCCTGCATTCTGGTGTATTTTAACAGGTTGTTAAACATCTAGTTTTACCTGCATAAGTAAAAACTTGATTCAATAACTATTTTAGAGAGCAACAAGAAGTAGCCTGACCAACAGCTCCCCTTGTGTGAATAGAGCACGCTCTGCTTCTCTCAAGCATCCTAGCCCCCCACCCTCACAACATCGAAAACTGCCAGAACTAACATAGCACTAAGCTAGTGGCATGCAATATAGATGCATTAGCTAAGATGTTACAGACGTAGCACTCCATTTTTCTCATACATCCTAACCCACAGACATATATACGTCTATGTCCTAACCCCTCACTCCCATCAACAACTGCCAGCACTAACGTGGCTCACTGCTCCCCAGGCACCTACATAGTTGCCCACTGCTCCACCTGGGTGTATCTCACATGTGATGGATTAAAAGCGGAGAACTAATTTCATCATTGTATGGAAACATGCAATGATGACAACACATAGCACTTTCTTCTTCTTCTCTTAGTGTGAATGCACAAATTCACACTTATACACTAAAGTTTTCAGAAACCTCCACTTTGAGAGGATTTAAAAAATGTCATTGTCAGAGAAAACGACAGCTGTTGTCGTGTCCACGAACGGCGGCAACGCAGCAGAAATTCTACGGTCTCACTTAAAAACAGCGCCGTGTCAACAGGACCCAGGTGTGTAAGTATGTGAAGGATAAATTATGTTGCTAGACGTCAAGATCTGCACGACAAAGTTAAAGACCGCATCTAGTTTAAACAGCTACAAATAAAACTTGATGTTAGTCACGTGGCCTCAGCTCCTCACTGTTTAATGAGGAGAAAAAAATTAAAATGAAACTCGCATACAGTTTAGCACAGGCCATAGAATTCTACTAAAATGTTTTCCTGACAATGATCTGCCACTTTACACTGAATGCCAATTAAAATGCCACCAGGCATCAGAGAAATATGCAGGGAAAATCATGTAGCAGCATCATGTTTAATTAGTCCAGACTGTCTTTTTTCTCCAAGTTCTTAGCATTAAAGCAGATCTGATTGGTGAGTGTGACTTGATAGCTGTGATGTGCACCCCCCCCCCTTCCACCACCACCAGAAGCTTAAAATTAGATGTGTAATGATAGGAGTGACTGAAGTAACCACAGTTGCAGCTTCGAAACAATTCAACGTTGAAACACTGGGACTTAAAATGTAACTTGTAAAACCATGTTGTGATAAGAAGGAACAGACATAGATTCAACATTTGCTCTTGTCAAGGGCGGACGACTTTCTTCTCTTCTCCCTCTCCACTTTGCTTTGCTCTGTCCCGTCTGTGAAACTTCTTTAGAGCCTCTCTTCTACAAATCTTCTGAATCATAATTCTGCTATGGATTTGGCCACTTGGTCCCTCAATACGATTGATAACATTTCTTCAAAGAGAAGGCAGGCTTTAGGTGAACCGATTTGCCCTGTTGGCACGCACGCAGCTGGACATCTCATCGACTTGGAAGAATCGATGACATGTCTATCTCTGCTGTCAATCAAGGATGCTACGGTCGCATATATAATTAGATTTATGATAACTGGTTTCCTGCTTTTTGGATTTGGCTGGTTCCTGGTCTATAAGCAAACAAGGAAGTTATTGGCAGCAAATTAGGACCTGGTCAGGCTGCCTGCCTTATGATGGCTTGGTTCGTGCCTCGAGCACCCAGACTCAATTGCTTTTGGCAGAATGGATAAGATCTCGGGGATTACACTCAGGCATGGTTCATTGGTGTTGTCGTTTAATTTTGACATTTCGGAACCGAGAGGACCGACACAGACTCAAGTTAGACACAATCAGTAAAGTTCTACCTGTCCCCAAAACAATTGCGTTTATCTGAATTCAGCTCGACTGGCCTTGACACGCCATCTTATCTTAGTTCGCCTGGAAGCTCTGTAAACCTTGATGCTCTGCCCCTCCCCCCAACTGAGGAAGTCTACGGACCAATCAGAGGGGCCCGGCTGTCATCGTTTCAGGACTCTTTGGATTCTATCTGACATCGTCCTTGGCCGTCCCTGGCACCACCTGAGAGTGTACGGATCGCTCCAGAGGGAACTATGTGAACTTAGTGCCTCTGTATGTTGTCTCTGGACATGCGCACCACCCTTGCGTCCCCCCCCCCCTCCCTGCGGTATATCGGCGTCATTATATGCTTGTGTGCGAGTTTTGTTTTCCATTGTCATGCCTTTAATCTTCAACCAAAGATTAAGAGCGTGTTAGGACATTTTTTGCCTCCAAAACCTGTGTTGTCACTTTCACCACTTATTGTCTGTCCAAACAGGTATCACTTGTAAATGAGTGTTCAAGGCTCATTGTGATAAATCTGTTTAAATAAAGGTTGAATGAATGAATGAATGAATGTGTTGTTCATCCACGGTAGTAAGAAATATTTGGGGACTCCCATGCAAATGCATGGCAGGCACCCATTATTCTACACCTCGGAAGAGTGTCTAAATTTCTATCTCCGTTAATGTGGCCCGAACCATAGCGTCTACCCCCACAAAAGTTATATAGAAACGACTGGTTCGGCCCCTTGATGTGTGCTATTACTTTTATTGGCATTTCGAGTTACCATGGCGGCGTAATTTGCAAACAAAGACGCAATATTTCACCAACTCCAGGAACTAGTTGGTGACTGCCCACTTATTATTCTACACCTAAAAAGCGTATCTTTTTCAACTTTAATGTGGCCCAAACCGCAATGTGGACCCCCACAAAAGTTATATCAAAACGACCGGCCCGGCTCAGGGAAGTGTGCAATTACTTTTATTGGCATTCGCAGTTACCATGGCGACATATTTTGCTAACAAAGATGCCAAATTTCCCATAGGAAATGAATATTAGAAAACTCTTCACAGAAACTGAGCAACATACGGAGCCATTTTGGTTCAACATGGAAGGTGAGGTGACTCCATCAGTTGTAGATGAATACATTCTGGTTCATACAACAGTTCATACCATGTCTGAACCTGTCAGTTGTTGTGTTACTTACAATCACTTCCACCGTGACAGGGACGGTGCTGTTGAGAGATGGGGTCCCCCCGTCATTGGCCATCACGGTTAGGTAGATCATCCCATTGGGAATCTTCTCGTAGTCAAGGGGCTTGTTGATGCTGATCACTTGGATGGGGAGGAGAAAAAATGCAACGTTCATGACTCAAGCGATTTTATTTAAAATTTACATTCAAAAGTTTGGGTTTCCAAAGGTGAGAGTACCTGCGTAGCCTTCCACCATGATGATGCTGAAGTAGGTACCAAAGGCTGAGGCTGAGATGATGGTGTAGGTCAGGACGTTGTTGGGAGGAGAATCCTCATCAGTTGCCTGAAGGTAGGCAGAACAGGGGGTGAGAACACTCATAACATATGCTTCGGTGGCACTTTAACACATCGGCTTAAAGAAGTTTTAAATGTCTGAAATATCAAGACAGATCGTAAACAGCAGATGCTTCACTAATACATATATGTTTGTGCCTGAACTGTATCTGCGTGAGAGTTTGAGCGCGTGCATGCAGCCAGGAGGCTGTCACTCTGCGCTGGCACGTTACCGGACAGATTAAAGCTGATCGGGCTATTAGTGGCGCAGGCGTCAATACTGGATAAACACCAACTGAGCCAAGACGAGCCAAGCAGGCCGAGGACAGATGAAGCCACACTTTGCAGGACTAATTCGCAACAACGTCAACAACAATGATGACACCCCCTCATTATTCTTGAGTTGGCAGCAAGTTTAAAACATGAGTCCTCCGGCTGTGAGGATTTCTGCTGGGCCTCGCTGGCATCATTAGAGGCTGGACAGGCTGTCAGGAACACTCACTTGTATCTCCCTACAACAGGCACATCTCTGCACTTTCATTTAATGCCAAAGTGTTGAGTAAGCAAAAACCCCTCCCCCCACAACTTTTCTCTCCGTTATGTGGATTTAAATCAATTTATGACAAATACTTTCACTACTCCAATTCTAAAAAAGATAAAACTTAAAGTAAAATGTAAATAAAAACAGAATGCAATGGTATGAAAATCTCAAACTTTTTTTATTCACAACGAAATATTAAAAATGGAAACATTAAATAAATTTAAGGGAAAATAGGAGATAATTTTGAATTTTACAGCAGTGACAGATCTCAGAACAGTTGTTCCAATTCTTTTCACTAGGAAGTGTCCCTTCTTCATTTAACATCAGTCTGTACACATCTAGATCTGAGGAGACCAGTTGTTGGAGGTTTAGTTGGACCTAGGGAGACCAGTTGTTGGAGGTTTAGGAGGACCTGAGGAGACCAGTTGT